CCACTTGCCACTTCCTCCAAAGCAATCAGCCTGTGTCCTTCCTTCCCCACTGAGTCTAAATCCACCCTAAGGAGGGTCACCCCCTGCCTCCCATCTCAAGTCCATCGGCTACCTGGAGTGCCCATGCCTTCTTGCTCATGGTGATTTGGGACACTGTTTCCCAACACCTTCTCTCTCATGGTCTTGCTTCTCTGACAGTCCCTTTTATGACAGTGTCAACAATGGTTTTTAAGACTCCCTCCTCAGGACTTATAGGGTGAAAGCCCAGGTCCAGGGTAAACTAGCAGAGGTGCTACCCCTGAGAGGTCCCCCCACAAACATCCCCACCAGCTCATGGTAGGATCTGTATCTGAAGAGGAAGTGAGAAACTGTCAGAGGGCAGGGCAGAAGAACAGGAAGTGGGCACTTGGGGCAGGTGTTATAGTCAGCTTTTTCACTGCTGTGACTAAAGGACCTGACCAGAACAATGATAGAGGAGGAAACGTTTATTTAAGGACTCATAGTTTCATAAGTCAATCCATATTCAGCAGACTCCATTCCTGGGGCTCAAGGTGAGGCTGAACATCATGGCGGAAGAGTGTGGCAGAGGGATGGGGTTCACAGGATGATCAGGAAGCAGAGGGAGTCTTTACTCTCCAGATATCCCAAAGCCAGGCCCCCAGTGAACCACTTCCTCCAGCCACAGCCCACCTGCCTCATTACCACTCAGCTAATCCCATCAGGGATCAATTCACTAATTAGGTTAAGGTTGTACCCCAATCATTTCTTCAGCAAACTTTCTTGCACTGTTTCACATATGAGCTTTTGGGGGGGGACACCACATCTAAACCATAACAGCAGGGAATGGGAAGAGTAGCAGAGATTGTGAAGGGGAACTGGGCCAGGGTAGAAACTCCAGAGAAGGGAGTCCGAGCTTCCTCCAGGGAGCAGGTTGAAATTGTCACAGGTTTTTAAATGCAACACCAACAGGGTTAGAGGTGGGCTTTAGGAAGGGTAAGCCGGTTGTATGTACAGAATGGATGGGAGGGGCAACCAGAGATTTGAACACACATGACAGCATGCCCTGCCACCACTGGATGGTCACCTCATCTAAATGCCCTCCCTCTTCCATCTCACCAGTCTTTCATGCCTCCAGCTGGACCCCACACAGCTGTCCTTGATTATAGGGCCCACCTGATGTCCAAGTTCATAAAACTTGACCATGCAATTAACAGATCCTTCTCTCTGTATGCCTAAACTCTGAGCTTGTCCTTCGTATGTTAGGCATATGTACCCAATGAGAATATAAGCTCATGTTAATGTCACCGGGCAGTACTAGGTTAGATGTATGCAGAATAAATATGCATCAGATGCTTCCAGAAACAGATGGATTTCAGAATATTTATCCTTTTCCAGAGTGACAGGTTCTGCTTCTGCTTGTTGTCCTCCAACTCTGCCTGCCATTTACACCTTCTTCCTGGCCACATGGCTGCCCAGCTAGAGGACTGCACCTCCTAGCCTCCCCAACAGCTCTGTCATGTAATGACATTTTTGCCAAAGGAAGATGAGCAGCAGTGATTTGTGCAGACAGCCTAACAGGTAATTGCTTACCCTGAACTTCTCTATTTCTTTCCCTTAATCTTGAACAAGGACATGCAAGCAACCTGGCTTCTACCACACAGATGAGGTCAGAAGGGTAAAGGACTGTGGAGCAACAATTGGAAAGAACCTATGTCCCCAAATGATCTTATGGAATAGAGCCCACCCACCAGTCCCAGAGCAGCCAGGTTCTTATCTGCAAGAAAAATTCTCTCTCTTATTTAAGCCACTATATGTTGGGAGTCTCTGTTTCAGCAGTTATGTCTACTTAAAAATATATATTTTCCCCAAATCTATTCTCTCAATTTCCCTTAATACAGTAATTCCATTTTTTGAACTGGGTCTATTATGTCTCAGCGGTGAGGTTACCGTTTCCAGCTGCCTTTACACCTATGTGTGACCACATAACTAAGTAAGTAGAATTGTTAAATGGGACCTCCAAGTAATCTCCTTATAAAGTAGTCAATGACCTCTTCTTCCTACTTCCTTTATCCCACTATCTGGACGGTGAGGGTAATTAATGGCTGGAGCTGAAGCAGATATTTAGGACCATGAAGTTACATGCTAAGAAATATAAAGAAACAGAAGAGCAGGATCCAGGGTCTTGGAAGATCAGGGAGCCGCCACACAAATTCTGGATTACTTCCAGCTTTCTTTACAAGACAGAAAATCCCATCTTGTGGAAGGCATTTATGCTGGTTGCATATAGATGAACCTAATCATAACTAATAGAAAACACCCATGAACAGATCCCAACATTTCAAACCCCAGCTTGATTGCCAGATATCCCTCTTAGCCAAAGAAAAGGAAAATGACTACTTTCCAAAGTTGCAGAAGTAAGACAGTTTCCACTCCTGAATAGAGTCAGTTTGCCTTTTGTGCTCATTGAAGCAGCTCTGCAGGGAGGCTGGTGGCTGACAAACCCCCAGTCTTCCAGCCCAGATGGCCCCAACAATGGTGGCTCACACTAGGGTACCAGAACTGCTGTGGCAGAGAAGTGGGTTGGGAGTGGGGAGGGAGATGTGACCCAGCTCTGGTGCTAGGGCAGTGAGCACCAACAGAACGCTAAGAAGATGGGGTGCTAGTCACGGCAAACTTAGGTCAAAACAGATGGGGAGGAACAAAGCAGCATTTCTCACTAAAGTGGGGTTTCTACTTTCCACCAACTGACCAGGTCACACACCCGAGACCAGATGGTGGCCTCCTCCGTGGCTGGGAGGGTGGAGGCCAGGGAGCCTCAGTTCAGCACTCCTGTCCACAGCCTCACAGGACTTGGGTGACCACCTCCCTCTCCAGGCTCAGTTTCCCCACGTGTAAAGCAGACAGCAGAAGCTGACAGCTCTTGGGCCCAGCCTCCAAGCCCGTGGGGGTCTGAGTGGAGCGCTTCCCAGCCTGGCCTTGGCGGTGCTCCGCTGTCCCCCATTGGCATTCTGACCAAGCCCCTCCAGCCCGCCCCATTCCTGCCGCCCTGGGTCCCCACCACCGACTCCCCTCTCGCTGCCCCTCACCCTCCTGCAGCCTCACCGTCATCTGACAGATAGCGCAGGTCGTAGAACTCCCCGGCAAAGGTGCCGTAGGAGGAG